TTCCGATCCGTTTACTGTGGTTTGATTCACATAGTGGAGCAGCTTTCTAGCATATGGACTGGATTCCTTGAAAACTAAACTAGATGATATGCTCCAACCAGTAATCTGCATTCGATCTGAGGGACTAGGTTAGACCTGGTCCAAAGTAAAGCCCACAAAACATGCATAGTGTGAACACCAGGTCCTCAGTGCTGACTGCCTCATTCTGCAGCTCTAGTCGTATTGTGTTCCCTATCACATAGTCATAAATTAGCTTTCCTTGACCTTGAAGAGTCATTGGAGGCAAATCAGAAGCACTGTCCATTAGATACAAATGGGTTTAGTGCCTTCTTACTTTTTCCTTCAGTGAAAATGGCTTTAACCAGGTGCAAAGGAGCAAAACCTTTGAAACAGCGTGTAGCCATTTCTCAAAGATTTGAGAGAGATCTCTTTGTATGAGCCTTCATCTTCTGGAAATAATTTATGAAACGCTCATCTCTGCATCTGAAAATGCCAACTTAATATAGGAATAGTCAAAGTTGTAGATCATGTCCAGTCCTTAGACAGAGTTCTCTGATGTGTAGAAGTGAGACAAGATAGCTGCTTAGAAGTCACTTACTTTCCCAAACGTTCCTGAAGGGAACCAAGATAAATCTCGCTGCAGCAAACAATCTTCTAGTAAGAAAAGTGTGAGATAGTGAATATCCTCTTTCTGTGGAAAGGCCTTGTATTGGTACGTGATGCATTTTGAAAACAATTGCAGGACACCTACGCACTGAGATTTTGACCACTCATTGAATTTTGCAAGTAAAGTAGGAAATACTTAAAGTTACAAAGTGATTGTTTCAGTCATTACTGGGGAGTAAAGCTGATGTAGCCACTCCAGCACCACCCTGTGGGCAGCACTGAGCAGTGGTCCAGGCTCACATTGAAACATCCTGACCCACAAAGGTAATGAAAACTGGCAATGTATTTTCAGTACCAGGGTGCCCAGAAACCTAGGTGGTTTGAGCATTGGGATCAACAGAAGAAACAGTCACCTTTAGAGTGCTAAGAGTACCACATGGGGAGTCTTTACTGCCTTGCCTGCAAGGGAGCATCCGTACTAACGTTCCTTCTCTTGCAATGATGGCCTGGCTGAGGTAGACAGGAATCGGTCATGAGAACACGTGTGCACACAAGGCCATGTGAAGTAATTGCACCTCTGGTGGGGAACGGAGCCGAACAAAACAGACCTTGGAGCATAACTTTGGGAACTCATACTGACCAACACCTCTGTTGACTGTGGGCTCCATGATGTCAATTAAAGCTTATCCTTCTGCCCTCTGTACAGTCTCAGCCATTTCCTTAATTTCTTTTGCATTTCAGACCACTGACCACCTGGTGTCTTTTTGCTGACAGCATTTGTGTGACTGCTGGGTCAGTAGTTTTGCTCCTGTGAATATGAACTGTGTAATGTAAGTGTGTGGATTTTGTCTTCTGCAGGATACCGTATTTTGAAACCAGTGCAGCTAACGGGAATAACGTAAGCAAAGCCATAGAAACTCTGCTCGACCTCATCATGAAGCGCATGGAGCGGTGCGTGGATAAATCCTGGATCCCAGAAGGGGTAGTGCGCTCCAACGGGCACAGCTCTACAGAACAGCTGAGTGAGGAGCAAGAAAAAGGCAAATGCGCCTGTTAACTCAGTTACAATTAAGTTTAATGTATATGCTGGAGTGTAGTACAGTTGCAGCTTAACTGTTTAACTTATGGACAAATCACACATGTAGTTATTTAATGAGCTATATTAATCCCTTATACTAATTTTTGGTTTTTTCTTCTGAAGCAACATTGACCTTTGCTTGCAAGATACGCAGTTTATTACTGATGGGACGGGTATCATTTGGTGTAGCACTAGATATTCCTCTAATTCTCTAAATCGGAGGGAAGGGAAGGAGAGGAGAGGAATTTTTATTACCAGATTTAGAAACAGCTCTCTGTATGGGCAATGAGAAAGGAAAAGCTTCTGAACGGAAGGATTTGCAGTTGCCCTTTGAAGGCTCCATTTACTGCACAGGCCAGGCATTTAGATTAGGTATTGTGACAGCTCTTAGTCTCTACTAACAGCAAGCTTGCCAACATGGTTCTTGGTTTTGAATAGAAACGTTTAATCATTTAATCAACCAATAACAATCTTAAAGAGCAAATCCTGTGTTTTCCACAGAAGCCTGTGAATAGCTTTTCCTTGCTCTCTCAAACCCATCAGCTTAGTGATGAAAACCACAGGAAAACTCTTCTGTATAGAGTAAAAAGCTACGGAGAAGCATAAGGGTGCATACGTAGAGCACTTCGGGTATGCCATGAAATTGAACATGTAAACTACAACTGTACTATATAAAATATATCCAGCACAGCCTATGGGACCTCCTGACACCATCTGAATTTCTAGAACATGCGTATACGTATATTTATATGGAAACGGCATAACTGGGCATCTGTTGTTACCTTTTGTTTATGTTACCACTCATGTTTGAGCAGGAATATAGGGCACCTAGATGTCAGATAGAGTTCAGCAGAGCTAGTGCGTTGCGCTGAATTTGTTTTACCAAACACAGATTCAGAACGTTTCTTCCAATTTGGATTGCAAAATGAATTACGATTGTCTGATGGTGAGATGCAGCTAAAATAACAGTTCTATCTAGATCGGTATTTCTATAAATGTATAACGCTCATTTTATTCTGCCAACCTCTGTGTCCTGTGCCGTCTTGGTTATCATATTCATTTATGGCTTGTTCGTTTCCTTTAGGTTGTGTTTAAAAAAGAATAGGGTTGTTTTTCTCTTTTTGCCCCTACAGATCATACCCCTTACGGACGTGAATGTCAGTTTTGGTTTCAGTGGATCGTGTTACTCTGTGATCATTTTTATTTATTCGTACAACCTAAGGAACAACCAGTATTCTTGGGGTCATTTTTCCAGACTGATTTATAAGATGTGCCTACCAAGCTCTTTTCTACCCTGGCAGAGGTTGTATAACTCTAAAGTATTGCCAATGAAAGTCGTGACGTGCCAAACTGAGTCTTTTTACAGACTTTCCACAGCAGTTTGTTTACAAAGCTGTTCCTTCTTTACAAGCGATGTATTTATTTATTTAAATATTCTAACTACTGCAATTTCGGGCAAACATTGAGACCAGTTGTGAACGTGAATTACAGCATAACACATTTTTTGAAAAGGACCAAACATGCTTCTAGAATAGGAGCTAAAAATAAAGAAATAAATAACTAGATATTTGATGTAGCCTCTGGTTAGATGAATAATGCAAGAAGAAGTGTTAAAACTTGATTCTTAAAATATTTTACGAAGTAGTGTATTGTTCTGTAACAAAGACGACATGTAAATATTAGATTTTTATCACAGCCTACACAGACTATTTTAAAAGTGCAATATAATTTGACTGCTCTGGGGCTAGGAGAGAGATTAAAGCAATTTATATTCAATAAATATAGGTGGGGTTTTTTTCTACTGTACAATAACCAGATTCTGAAATACTTGTGGACCGGAGTTGCTGTAGTTTAACTCACAGTGCCTTTTGAAGTTGCCATCATGTTTCTGGTCAGCAGAGCGTCTAACTCTGCTGTAGGACACGATACATTTCAATGTACTTCAGTGTCTGAATGTCTTTTAATGTAACTTCTTCCTTTTCAACGGTTGCAGTGGAAATTTGTCACGAGTTAACTTGAACACGAGTTTTTGTGCTTATAGCTCCATCCAGTTCCTGAAAACAGCAGGGGATTATTGCAACCAACTACTGAAATGCTGTAAAGATATTTCCTTTTGAATACTTACGTTTAGAATTGGATATTAAACACTGAAACTGCTGCATTTTTGTCATGCCTATTATATGTAACTATTTACTGTATAAAGAGAGTCTACATAAAATTGCTTTGATGTCAGCCTTGGAAATGTGCCATGAGATTTATTTGAATTGTCCTGTGACAAAACTTTTGGTCCCTTTTTAGCTCTCCTGAGAAATCACAGTAAATGTTTCCTGACAGTGAATCACACCATTATTACGAGTCTAACACTGGTTTTAAAAAGCAAATAAACACAGAACAATTTTCATGTGATGAGAAACTCTTACTTCAAGTGAAGTTGTTTCAGTCCAGTGTCAGGTGAAAATGTTGATGTGTAATGGAACGGTTTTGGGAAGGATATCCATTATGATGCTTTGTCCCAGCATTTCTTACTAATATGAAGTAGTGAAACGTTCCTAATCTGAACCTTGTCAGTGTCTGTGGAACTGAATTGTAACATTTCCTGTTGTCTCAGTTCAGTATTAGTCTGTGTCCTTCTGCACGGTCCCTATGCATGATGATTTTTCTAGTTCAAATGCATCTAAGTTCTCTTCTGTGGCCTATGTCCTTCTTGATGCTACCCTCGGGCTCTGACCGAACCAGTCGGATGGGGGGCTGATGCAGCCTGGGTGATACCAGAAAGCTCAAACCCACAGAAGAAAACAGAGGCAACACTTCTGTATTTGTAAGACATTCAGAAAGCTGCTAATGTGAGCATGTTGTGTTCAGAGAAAAGGGAATCAAGCAATGCATTTTGTAAAACCTACTGCTTCTACAAAGGTAAGGAGCCTGGTTTTTCAGAAGAGTTGCTTCTGTCAGGAGCAGTGTGGATTACCACAGGTAGATTCTGATATGCTGGAAAGCACAGCTGCTATTCAGGTGGTCCTTGACAGGCAAGAGAGATGAGCTGAACTAAGCCTCATAAATTTTAACAAGTGTAAGTGTGACTGGGTGTTCTGTCTGGGTTGGCATAACCCCATGCAGTAGGACTGGCTGAAAAAGACATTTTGCAGAAAAGGGGATAAGCATTCTGTTCTAAAGCCGGTTAATCAGGAGCTGTAAGAGTGCCTTTGTGGCAAAGGTGGCCAACTGCATCTGGGGCTGCATTGGTGAGATGAAGGCAGCAGGCTAAGGAAGTACCTGTTCCCTTATGTTTAGTAATTATATGACCGCAGGTGGAGTTCTGTGTCCTGTTTTGGACACCCCAATAGAAGAAAGACGTTGACATGCTGGAGAGTCCAGCAGATGCCACCAAGATTGGTGGTTGAAGCACAAGGGGTAGGAGGAGAGATGACTGGGCTTGCTTAGCTTTAAGAAGAGAAAGCTAAAGGAGACCTTTCTGCTGTCTTGAACTATCTAATGGGAGCCAGACCCTTCTCAGGGATAGGAAACAGGCAACAGAGAAAAGTTGGTGTACACAAAATTCTGATTAGACACTAGGAAAAAAAATGCCACCATACAAGAAGTCAGAAATTGGAACAGGAGCTGAAGGAGGTTGTAGGATCCCCATCCTAAAAACTCAACTGGATGTGGCTCTGAGACACCAGATGTAATTTTGTCCTGCTTTGAGCAGGGCTTTGGTCTGGATGACCTGCAGAAGTGTCTTCCAGACAAATCCCACAAGTGCACGTGCCTAAGAGCGATCAGTTCTTTTACGTGACTGTATGTGACAGTTGATATGAACTCTGTGTGACAGTTCTTTTACGGCTATTACGAAAGTTGGACAAGTGCATGAGTACTTGGAGACCAGAGCTTTGTTACGAGTTTGTGGTATTGAGCTGAGATGTTTGGTGACAGAATTCTTGCTGTGGTAACGTGTCAAAAATCAAATGAGCCACTCAGTTTGCTGCAAAACCTTTTCTTCCAGTGAGGCTGCTTTTCAGCTGGATACCCAATTCTGTCTGTGAACTACTTAATGGAGTAGAAGTCCATATTCTTGTTTGATAATTAATCTGGATTCTGGTTTCAGCAGCCTTCAATCTGTATTGCCTTTTAGATCGGGAATAAGCACTTCCAATCCACAACATAATGGCTTGTACTTAAAGAGGAGATGAGCACCTCGATATTAAAAAAGAAGGGGTAAAAATCCAGTTGTAAATGCTTGTAGTATCACTTGTGCTCTCACATCTTGTCCGTCTGCTGGAGGCGGTGGTGACAGTCTGTAATCCAAAATGTTTAAATTGCAGACGCCACCAAGGACTTCACAGTACAGTTCTCTGCCAGGAAAAAGCTGTCTTCAGTGAAATAAATACAGCCCACGGGGAAACAAGTCACACGGGCAAGAAACTCGAAGTAATCAAACTGAAAAAGGAGGATTGCAATTGCGTATGCCAAAGCACTGCAGCCCTAGACATAAGCAAACTTGTTTTTTTGGTTTAGCCTCTAGCTGTAAACTCGGTGTCTTCATAACTTCCCTTGTAAAATTGCTTTCTGTACATGTCTCTACTATTTTCTCTCATCAGCTGGGTTGCCATCTTCTGTCACAGCCACAGCCTTCCCTCCAGCGTGCGGCCTGAGACAAACTCATATCCTGTGCAGTCCTGTCTTGCTCCGAGTCAGCTGGGACCTGTTGCTCCTTAGGGCTGAGGGCAGCTACTGGTCACCAGTCAGATGCTCTAGCCCGTGTCTCCTGCAATAGGATGTGGCTGAGGTCTGGTTTACAAAAAGATTGGAGACAAGTTCTGTGCTGATAAGGTTGGCGGCTCTACTGTGCTAAAGCAATTTATTTTCTTCCATCTTTCTTAATCTAGCCCCAAGCTGACTGCCTCTTTTGTTGTTCTAGAAACCAGAAAGCAAAAACTACCCACGTTCAATTCAGTATGTAATTTTTCACCAAATACTTGGATAGTTAATTTCTTTTAAGTAGAGAAGCGGGAATTGTGGTGAATGAAGCCTTACATGGTGAGGAAGATTTCAGACTGAGCTAGGATGGCATCCGAAGATT